AGCCCATACATATTCATGACCGAGGGCTGTGGATCAGAGAACTCTTAGAACTGTGTTTTACAGTGTCTCTCTTCTCAGCTCCAGTCTGTGAGTGAGTACTTTCTTTTGTCATCTGTGAGACTGAGCTATAGTCAGATAGGATCAGGAAGTGGTGCTGTGGCACAGGGATGCGACTCCATTTAACAGCACACCCTAAATTTCAGAAAGTGGAGAGAATTGATAGTGTTTTCACCATAAAAAAATAATAATGTTGGGACTAGTGAGATGCAAACCTGGTAACCTGAGTTCAACCCCCAGAATCCTTGTAAAGGTGGATGGAGAGAACTATCTCCACAGAATTGTCATCCTTTGACCTCCACACACAAGCCATGGCATACATGTCCGCCCCATATCCTGCATGAGCACACACATGCTAATAAGAATATTTTTTAATGTAATACTGTTGGGCAAGATAGTTATGTTTACCCTGATCTAAACATTACAGTATACACGTGTTGAGATGTCATATGGAGCCCCATATATATGTGTGATTTTTTTATGGTTTTGATGCATCAGCCTAAATTTAAGTTAAAAAGAAAACAATAGAGCCTGAATAACGTAATAAAAACAAACTTTAAAAATTGTGTGTGTGGCCAGGTATGGTGGTAACTCCTTTAATACTAGTACCGGGATTGATTGGATCTCTGAGATCAAGGCCAGCCTGGTCTGTATAGCAAGCTCCAGGCCAGCTGGGGCTACAAGGGATACCCTGTGTCAACAGCAACGAAAACAAAAATATTGTGTGTGAAAGAACCAGCTGTGAAGTAGAATTTATGCTTATAAAATTTGAAACCCTGGGCAGCAGTGCCCAAGTGTTCTCATTTGAAATTAAGACACAGGCCTGAGGACCCTTAGGTGAGTGTTTGCTCTGTGGGTAGATGGCACCCTCAGCTGCTGGCACTCCCTTGGAGAGGTGGCTTCTTCCTGTCTGCCTAAGACCATGTATGGGACTCTTGACCTCAGGAAGTCCTAGGAAAAATGACTGATGCTGCTGATAACATAAAGAACATTAAATAGCCCATTGAGTGGCAAGTCCTGGTGTTCACAGTTGGTCCTTTAGTTCTGGTTTTCCACCCAGGTGCTGAGGTGTTGACTCCAGTGTGTTCTTGTGACCGTGCTTCTCGCAACCCCTCCAATGCCTGCACCTCCCCATCTTGGCACTTTCAGCACTAGTTTGAAGAAGACAGGAATGCCTTTGCTGCTTGGGCTTGAAGCCTTCTTTCTCTGGCTGTTGGTTCCATCACGTTTTATCCTGGAGGGGTATGCCTGAAGACCCAGCTGTAAGACAGCTCCTCATCTGCAAGAGGGCTCTTCATCAGTCTCATTCTGCAAAGTTCCTGTTGCCTCTCATAGGCAATAGGCACCAGACCATTTTTTTTTTCTACATAAACTAGCTTACAAACACTTTGGGATGAATTGATGATAAAATACCATGCTAGCAGTATTTCTGCCCCTACTCTGAGATGAATGTGATGGAAATCACCTTTCCGTGAACATCTGCTGGTGTCTGGTTGGGGCCTTCTGTTGGCACAGTCTGTCATCCTTGCCTGGGTTGCAATTGTGTTGGTTTTATTTTCCTGGACTCTCAGCCTGCAAAGCCATGACTCAGGAAACCACTGAGATGTGAGGGCAGAGCGCCACTGATGGAGGTCACTGCAGTGCCACCACGGCCTGTCCATGTGGCACTAGAGGGGGTGTACTTGTCTTTGCACGGTTAACTCGTATTTGCCTGCACTGTGCTGGGGACAGAGGACAGGAAGACACCAATCTTGGTTGAGAAGTTCACAGTTATTAGGGTAGACAGAAATATAAACAAGTAATAGTAGCTTACATCCTTTCAACAAATAGGTATTGAGTTCGGCACTTTGGGCCCTGGACCAGGCTGGGTCCTGGGGCTGTTGAAGTGAATAATACCTTATCCTGCTCTTGAAGGGCTCAGAGCTAAATGCAGTGCAGTGTGATGCGAATCATTCCTGAGGGTGTTAGATACCCGCAGCAGACTTAGTGACAGGGTGGTGTCAGGGAGTGACGAGGTCACTGGAAGGCCCCCCCTTGTTAACCTGGGGCCTAGTGGAGTCCTGTGGGCTCCACGGGCACTCTGAGAAAGGAGGCAGGGAGAGGAAAGAGGAAGTCCAGCTAGACCAGGGAACGGTGTGGGACAACAGAGACAGAGCCCTGTAGTGTGATGTAAGTGGAGGTCTAAGGAGCAAAAAGTCCCTGGTGAAAGAAATGCAGGCCCATTAGCCAAAGGAAGCTAATCTGAGAAGACTGAGTGGTGGTCTCAGTTTGCCTGTGTTCACTTGTCGTTAAAAAGTGAATAGCCAGCAAGTTCCAGAAAGGAGAAATGGTTTGCTTCTGTCGTACAACTAGGGTTAGACCATGGACTCCTCACCCAGCCTCAGAGGTCTTCTTTTCTGAGTTTTGTTCCTTTACTCGGTTTTCACTGTAATTGCTGCTTCTCTGTTTCATGAAAAGTAAGAGCATGAATCTGTTTGATAGTGTCATGGTGGGTATGAAAAGTCACAGAAACGATTTGTTAAGGCTGGAGTGCTGGCACACATTTCTAATCCTAGCACTCGGGGACAGAGGCATGTGGATCTCTGTGAGTTCAAGGCCAGCCTGGTCTACATAGTATGTTCCAGGCCAGCTGGGGCTACAGGGAGACCGTGTCTCAAAAAGACAAAAAAAAAAAAAAAAAAAAAAAATTGTTCAGAAACTACCAATTTGTTCAGACATTACATGGTGTTGGAAGTGTCTGACACACAGAGTGGAGGTTCATTGACTGAAAAAGGGGGAAATTAAAATTTAGGGTTTTATCGGAGTAATTGTATGGATTCAGTCTTCAGAAAAGAACCATAGTTTATAAAGACTGGACTTTGTGATGAAGGACGGCAGACAAATTGTCAGAAACATTCTCCACCAAAGCAGTAACCAGGTATAGAATCAACATCTGCCAGGCAAGTAATTTCTATCTTGTGCTTTTGGAAGCACTCGGCCATTGATACCCTCGAGTGTTTCAGTGATGCGCCTTTAAAGGCCAGTAGGTCATTCAGCGATCACTGGCTGGGCCTCTTCTTTGTGCCAGGTTCTGTCCAGGCCCCACAGTCCCACAAATATGAGCGCAGCCCTACACCAAAGACTTAGGGAGAGGCTAGCCAGAGATAGGGGTCATGGTCAGGAATAGAGCTGGCCCAAGATGGGGGGGGGGGGGCGCTGGCTTGACAGGATTGTTACCCAGGGTTGGGCTGGAAGGGCTAGGGTGGCAGCACGCTTTAAAATCCCACAAAGTGCCTGATCTTACAGCAGCACTGCTGTTAGTGTTTGAATTCTTTGTTGTAGGTAAGTCTGGTTTTTTATTGCTCCTGTGAGGTTATTGAATTAGAGAGAAGACTGATTTGCTTTCTTTCTCAATTCAGGAAAGAACTACAAACTTCATGACTGCTGACAGCTTCTCTTGTGTCTCACTTCTGCTTAGGAATCTAGAAATGTCTCAGAACCAGGGCAGCCCAGGCACGTTTACCACTTTTACTATAGGGTCTGATGCTTTTTAGGGCACACCCACCACTGTTCTAGCTTTGGAATTGCCTGAATGGGTATATCTGGTGACTATCAAGGAAAAGATTCATTTTCCTTCCCTCCCCACTTCCTTTCCTCTCCCTCCCTCCCTCCCCCCTCCCTGTCTGTTTGTGTCTGTGGATCAAAACCAGGTCTCAGTGAAAGCTGTGCAAGCACTCTACCGCTGAACTGCATCCTCAGCCCTCCAGATTGGAGTATTTTGATACATGGTCATGAGCAAACAGGCTTCTTTCTTTGAAAATGTATTCTAGCTTAGGTAACTCGGTGTGATTTCCCTCTGGACCAGGGACAAGCAGAAGCCATCCTTGGCAATTTCTTTTATATCCCTGGTTTCCGGCCACTGAAGACAGCCCTAGTAGCTGTTTTTATGCAGTCTGTTGCAGAATGATGTATAGGAGCAATTTATTTTATTTTATTTTTTATTTATTATGTGTATTCATGTGTTGCCTGCATGTAGGTAAGTGCACCCATGTCGTGCAATGCCGCAGGGAACAGAAGAGGCTTCAGATTCCCTGGAACTGGTGTTACAGACAGTTGTTAGCGGCCATGTTGGTGCTGGGATTCGAACCCAGGTCTTCTGCAAGAACAGCCAGTGTTCTTAACCACTGAGCCATCTCTCCAGCCTTACAGTAGCAATTTAATGTCTGAGTGTTACACAGTCCCTGGTACGTAAGTCATGCTCCTCATGAATAACGCAGCAATGGGACCTCAGGTCTGTAGTCGTCTTCATTCTGATGTGTGGGGCACCAAGGATAATGCAGCACGTTGCATTTGAGGACCTGGACCTGGGGAGGCAGTGAGGGTCATGTGCTTTAGGGATGAGTATTCACACTGAACCCAGCAAATCCTTCACAGCTAGGCTTTGTCTTTGAAATACTGAATGAGAGAAATTCCATGGTGATGCCTTGGAAACCATTCTTACTGATAACCACACTTCTAAACAGGACTAGTTTCCTGTCTGATTCTTTCCCAGTGCCTTTGACTGGCCTGCAGGGCTCCTCTTGTCATTCATTCCCTAGTGACTTGGCATAATATCCAAGTGTGTGCGTGTGTTTGTGCTGTCTGTGTACTGTTGTGTTCATAAACCTCAGCCATAACTGCTCTGAGCCTTTGCTTCTCTATGTGTGTTCATCAGCCACTGAATGAGCCTCTCTGAGGCTGGTCAGTGGACATTGAATGCTAGGCGTACACACGCACATGCACTATTACAGTTTCTTAAATGTCTTCCTCTTTGGGTGCATATTTATATTCATTCTGACCCTCCAGAAGAACTTGTCAGACATTGTGGGTTTTCAGTGCCTTGTCGTGCTGCACACTTTACCTGTCATAGTCGTGTGAGTTACAAAAACAAGAAAGTAGAGTTGCTTCCTTCACTCTGGCTCCAGTTCTCATGCAGTGGGTGGTGTATGCGGTGCGAAACCTCACTGAAGACAACAGCCAAAACCAGGATTTTATTGCAAAGATGGAGGACCAGGGGCTAGCAGACGCGTCCTTACTGAAGAAAATGGGTTTTGAAGTTGAAAAGAGGGGAGAGAAAGTGATCCTGAAGTCTGCTATTGACAACCCCCCACGTGTAAGTGCCCTCATGTAAACTGTCCTCTAGTCACTCCCAGAAAGCTCTTCCCACATCCTTGTGACCTTGGCACCCAGGATGTGGTGTTCTGTGAGATTATGGAAGACAGGAGAAAGTTGCCCTCTGACACCAGCATTAAATAGAGCTACAAAGAACTTTTTGGTCAGGCTTTAGGCTACCATTTCCTTAAAACTTTTAAAACTCATGCTGAGCACAAAATACAAAACCATAGTGAAATTTCAGCGTGGTCTAAAACTACATTCCTGACCAAAATTAGGTTGTCTTTTAAAGGTGGCAAACGTTTACTGCTGTTCTTTGTATGGTGTTGCCTTTCAGGATTTTCCCAGTTCCCTCTGACCATTATGCAAAGCTCTGCATTTTTTTCTCTTTGTCTGATGATTCTTGTAGACTTTTTGTGTCTATGATCCTGTTTCTGTTTCCTTCTTAGTGACTGGCCTCTCCATCTGAAGTTTTGGATTCTGTTTCCTGGCTATCTCGTCTCTGCAGTATGTGAAATCACAAGTGTTTGAAGATGTAGAAGTACAGGTTCGCGACCCTCTGAATCCTTTAGTATTATAATTGAATGTGTGTAAGCTAAAGTGAAAGTTCCTGCGTGTTCTCTTTTCCTTTCAGTAAGTGTAACTCTCTGGTTCACCTCTGTTCCCCTGGGTAGAATGTGCATTCCAATGATATACATTGTACTTACTGTTGTAGCAGATAATAAACCCCTTTTAGGGCACAGCCCTTACTTGGCAAAGACTGGGACACTTGATTGGATTCTGTGTGTCCCTTCAGATGGCAAATGAGCTTCGTTCTTTTGATTCTCTGCTTCTCATTGGGTTTCTGAACCCTGGCAGGCACTTGAAGTAGTTTTCTCACTGTGATTAATTCTAGCAATCTCTTTTCACCCCCTCTGTCTTTTCAAAACATTGACATGACTCATTTCCAGCTAATTAATTTGAGAACCTTCCCTCTTCATTTTAGACACTGTGTTGTCACTGAGCCCTGTCCTTTGGAAATTAGCAGGGAGTGAGAGTGGGTGCGAGAACATGTGGGCACTTAACTCTTTGCATCCCAAAATGTCCTAGAATCAGAATTCTACCCTTGCACATAAAGGCAAAAGCTTACATTTTGCCCACCTCCATGCCTCTCTAACACAGAAAAGACTACCTTGTGTCCTGCTTGGTGTACAGTACCACGGTGAGAAAGGGACATCCAAATCATCTTCAGTTTAAACACACTGTTCTCAAAAGGGCACCACTCAGTGTTTTGCCATAGTTGCATTGGTAATTTGGGAGTTCATTGACATCTGGCTAGCTACTTCTATATTTTTGTAGCAGAAAGAAAACTGCATTAAGCAAGCACTAGATTCTTTGTAACCACCTGGATCACTGATAAAATCACCACAGTCTGGGAGGTCGTGTTGTAAATGTTTAGCATTATTTTCCTAAACTAAAATATCCAGAGACATTACACAGTTCGTGTTTATCCTTCCGAACTAAAACCAGGACAGACCCAACCAAAAGCTTTACAAAAATTTTACTCCAAAATCAAGTCTTAAATTTCTTTGTGGCTATACTTAACTTGCTTTGTAAGACTGATTTAGAGCTTGTTGAGAATGAAATAGCAACTTTCCCATATGCTGTCTAGTGTGTAACTGAAGAAACATCAGATTCCAGGCCCATGGCAGTTAGAACTCATTTGTGACGTTTAGGCATTACAAAATTTAAAATACACAAAGAAGTCATTCCCTTCTGGAGCACCAAGAGTTAAAATCCTTTCTCTCAAAGAGGTCTGGCCAAAGGGAAAGCAGTAGGGGTCCCTTTCTTCTTTTAACAAGTTTGCAGTGGACATTCTTTTTTCCTCTCAATGGATGTGTGCACACCAGTGGAGTCACACAAACATGTCGGTATGCACCATATAATAACAAACACAGATAAATAAAAGGGAGCCTTGTGAGGATGCAGAATGGGTTATGGTTATGTGCTCTAAATAGGAAGTGTGGGGCTCACACAGTGAAAACATGCTGATGACTACATTGTGGCCTCTTTTGATTCCCTGGGGGAGCGAAGGCTTGAGCACAACAGCTTCCCTGTGCTCTGCCAGTGGGCCTGGGGCTTCCCAGAACCTTGTTTTACATGCTGTAGAGGATTAATTCACCACCTCAATCAGCCGTTCAGAAGGGAAAAAAGCAGGGCAGGGCAGGGCAGCGTCACAAAATTTGTAAAGACATCGAATAGTCACAGCGAGTTTTGTGACCATATTGTTTTCAAGAGCAAACTGACAAAGCTTTTTTTTGGTGTGCTTCACTTTCACAGATGGAGAAGAAAGGATTCTTGGCTTGGTAGAGAGGGCAAGTGTTTGCAGAGCGGTTCTTTTGTAATGCCTAACAATGAGGAAGGCTTTGAAACAGTGTATTTTCACAATTTTAGTACTCTGCTGATAGAATGTGCCCATGTGTCTCACGGTAGTTTGGGAATTATTTAGAAGTCAATGTGAAGATACATATTTTGTCCAGTAATTTAAAATCTAACCATAGGGCTTTGGGAACTAAGGCACATCACTTTTCACAAAAGGAGCTAGAAAGATGATGCTAGTTGAACTACTAGTTAGCAAGCTTTTAATCAGAATCAATGCTTTACCTGTGGGTGTCTTATGTCGGTTCTTTATTGAAGTCATTTGTAACACTACCTGGCATTTAAATTTTATATTTAAAAACATTGAAAAAAACTGAAAAAAAATTGAAATTACAAAAGCCAGGCATTTGCAGGAAGAAACCTTGTTTAAAAAATGTCTCATCACCAGTAAGTCCTGCACATAACCAGTTTTCACATGTGAAGCTATGGAATCAAGACAGTACTAAAATGCAGAAATGTTGGAGAACAACCTTGATTTACAGTTGGCCTCTTACAGAAAATTGGTCCCTTAAGGGGCCAGAAGCTGCTTGGTGCGCTGTCCAGGGTTCTGATAATTTCAGCTTCTCTGACCTCCGTACATAAAACAAAATCCTGTTTTTCAAAATTCTGAGGTCTTTTTCCTGTAGCACAATGCCTGCTTTCCTCATCCTTACACATTTTTACACACTTACTTTAGATCAAACATTACATCCTATTTATAAATGAATGTAACTTATCTATAATATATATGTTTTTAAACTAAGCTTTTTCTATATGTGGAACAATTATAGCATTAACTCCTTAATCATACTTTTCTCACAACAACCAGAGAAAAGTCATGAGCATGGCTTTAAGTG